GTTATCGTAGTATATTTGTTTTTTTATCACACTCAAAGTCTTTATCCTCTCTACTGGTTTATAGACTGCATATAAAGTCTTTATTGCTTTACAACCTGCCTTACTCAATGGTACATCCTTATCTTTTAATCTTATCTTTCCCTTTGTTACGTTTGAAATCCTTTAAAAACAAAGCAATATGAACTCTATTCCAATATCTGCTTATTCTAAATGTAAAAATAATTGGATTTTGTTCCTATCTTCTAAGCAGTCCTTTTCAATGACTAAATCTTTTATGTTTGCCAACTTAAGCATTTACAATTCCAATCCATTTGATAAAATACCTATATTATCACTTTTTAAAAGATTATAAATCTTTTGATGTGGCATTTAACCTATTAACTATACTAATAGGTGGTTCAACCATAGCTATGATTAATTTGTTTATTAAACTTTAAGGTAACATATTAAGCAAAACTATTTGAATGTTTTGCATTTTGCTTTATAAATTTTTAAATACTAATTCTATAGCTTGAATTTAATATAGAGGATCTAGGAAAAGCCTTTAAAAATCCAATATTTCACAATTGTTTAAATTTAGTAGCACTCACTTCCTCTGATTACAAATCAAACCCCTTATATCAGAGTCGCTAAAGTAAAAAATAAGAAATATTTTAAGCATAAAAGGAAATAAGCATATATTCCCAAGCTAGCTACTTTAATCATATTAGCAAGATGATACTATCTTTAAACTGTAGCATGATTCTACATTTAAAATGTATCCTGGATTAGATCCTCTAGTTATATATAAATCGTGTGCTATGTTATGCTATTTTTTGTAATAAGAAGTATTGTAAATTTATTAAATAGTTATGTAAATTATGATTGATATTGGTTTATATTAGTAATGATAATAGTTTTATAGAGCTATTAGTTCGTAAATAAAGTACTAAAAAATGAAAATAGAAGAATAAACTCCTAAGATTAAATATTTAGTAAACTTAGTAAAGATCTTAACTTTTTCTTACTTTAAATTAAAAATGGAATTATACTATATAAACAAAGGAACAATTTTTTAGTTGATAAATTGGTCTAATTTAATGTTTATGTTCACTCCTTACTATTTAACTGTTATCTTTTTAACTTTAATATGTTTAATAATTAATTCCTTTTTGATATATTTTGCAAGCAAATTATCATTTAAAGGGTTTGATATCAAACTAATACTTACTTTAGCTTCTTTAGAGTTTCTTATACCAATTGCGGTATTTTCTGATCTTATTTACTATTTTATTAATGGATATAAACTAATAGAAATTCAATATGGATGCACGTTTTATGGACTTATAGTATTAATCATTTATCATTACGAAATTATGTTGAATTCTTTATTATCGATGGAAAGGTTAGCAAAAATTAAAAAATCAGTTTTATTTGACTATGCCTACTATCCTGTAATAATTGACTTGATTATCTCTACAATTTTATCAGTTGGTTGTGCTTCTATAAATTTATTTAATACTTCTTCAGCAAAAATAAGCTGTCTGTTAAACGTTACTAATAGTATATTAGCTTCAGTCACTTATCATTATTCTCTTTTAAGTTGTTTTATTGCTGTAGGACTTTTAGTATATTCATATTATTGTATAGCAGCTGAGATTAGTGGATTTGAAGAGATAATGTCTGCAGAATTGGAAGCTAATAGTGAAACAAGTAATAGAAAATGGTCTACAAGTCTAAAAAAAGCATCTCTTAAAGTATATTTAATCTTGACTATTTATGGAACATGTATGTTGGGTTCACTTATCAGTTTATTTCTTGAAACAACATTAAAATATAAATATGGTGATACTTTTGAATATTCTGAATATCTCATTTATACTGCTACCCTTTTATTTATCCTTGGAATGATTTTTAATGCATTGCTAATACTTGCACTACATAGTGGAATAGCAAACGAAGTAAAGTGCTTTATACAAATAGTACATAATAAATAAGTCAATGGTAAATATGTAAAGTTGAAATGAAAAATGAGTATAATGAAATAAATGTCTCAGTTTACTCTTAGACTTATACGGTTAAGCTTCTTTTTTTCTATAACAAAGCAAACTTGTGCACTCATGGTTAATATTGTTCAAATATTTTGGCTTTTTCAAGGTTTCTTTGAACCAAACAAAACTAAATAAAAGTGCTATTCTATTTGGTGTAGTAAATTTCGTGTTTAAAATATTCATTAGGTATGTTTTTATTATATAAACATAATGCTTTATTTTATTTGAGTTACGAAAAGACAAAAGACAATTCAAAGAATTCTTTTATAGTGTTTGTATTGTGGTTTTTTGATTTTGTATAAATCTTTTTCAACAACTATAAAATTTATGGTTACAAAAAAACAGATTTAAATACTATAAAAAAGTGCTATCAAGTAAAAAATAAATTATTTTGACCTTTTATGATCTATAGAACTTTCTTCTTTAACAACCTAAAAAAATTATAAATAGTAAAAGAGGTATATTTTATTTTATTTTATTTTTATAAAACGCTTGTTAGAGTTTTTGACCTGTGAATGTTTTTTCGAGCTCCTACACTTTAAATAATAAAGCTTAATTTCAAAAAGTAATATTATATTTCTTTTAGGCTTTAAAGAATCTGAAGATTTCCAAGTGCTTTATTAGTAGGAATAAAATCATTATTAAAATTGAGCTTAAGAAGGTGTAAGTTAAAAGTGAAGTTAAGGTTAAGTTAAGGAGTGGGTGAAATGAAGTGCAAGATATATTAACAAATTACAGGAAAGTATTATAATTCAAGAACACCTTTAAAATGGCAACCCAGGGCTTCTAAAAATTGTTAATAAACTATTTTTTGATCAATAAGATATTGAAATTTAATTTCATTTTCAAAAACTCTTTAGTAGGCTTTTTAATTCAGTAGGTGGGGATGTTTTTTTGGCTTCATTACTTTTTCCATCTTTTAAGCGCTATTTGGGTGGAAAAATTATTAGTAAAATTCTTAAATACAAAAACACATCCCCAGGTGTTCTAACAATCGACATAATTATACATGCTGTTAATCCACTTAATTGAGTATTAAAGTTTATGTCAAGAAGGGCTACCGTGAACTTAATAATATTACATTTGGGTTTTATTTATTAAATTTTCCTATCTGTTGAATTTAATTTAGATGTTCAACAAAATCCTAAAGATATCTAATACCAACATAATGATCTCAATATAATAAAGTTGTTTTCAATAACAAATTCAGGATATTGAGGTAAAGAAGAGGAAATTAAAGACAAGAAAGATTTAAACAGAAGTAAAATGATTTAATATTTCCGAACTAGTCCCTTACCAATTATTAGTAGAATAACCTTACCTCTAAAAAGTAGCACAGTTTCATTTTAAAATATGCCGAATCAAAACTCTTACAATCTCATGCACAAAAAAGGTGGGTTATTATTTAAACTACTTTTTGTAATAAGAAGTATTAAAAATTCATTAAATAATTCCTTATTTACGATTGTCTTTCTAAAATTAATTAACTGTAGGCCTTTTATAAGTGGTAACCTTGCAAAAGAAGTGATATGATATAAAAATAGGAGAATAACCCACCACAATTGGGTTTTTATAAATATAGTCAAAAGCTTAAATTTGTATCCATTCTTAAAGTTTAGACATAAACAAACTATATAAACAGAAAGGAAGTTTTTTCTTTATTTAATTAATTAATTTAACCCAAATGTTCACCTTCACTCCATTTTATATAGCAACTATATGTGTAACTTCAATATGTTTAATCCTCAATTCGTTTTTAATATATTTTGCAAGCAAATTATCATTTAAAGGATTCGATATAAAACTAATTATGGCATTAGCTTCATTAGAGTTTCTAGCACCAGTTGCAGTTTTATCGGATCTTATTTATTATATTATCAATAATCAAAAATTAATAGAAACTCAGTCTGGATGCAACTTTTATGGTTTTATGATATTATTTGTTTATCAATATGAAATTATGTTAAGCTCATTATTATCAATGGAAAGATTATCAAAAATTAAAAAATCGGTACTATTTAATTACAGCTATCACCTTATAATAATTAATTTAATTATATTCGCAATTTCATTAATTGGTTGTGCTTCTACAAATTCGTTTGCTATATCATCTGCTAAAGTGAGTTGTCTGTTAAACGCTACTAATAGTATATTAGCTTCAGTCACTTATCATTATTCTCTTTTAAGTTGTTTTATTGCTGTAGGACTTTTAGTATATTCATATTATTGTATAGCAGCTGAGATTAGTGGATTTGAAGAGATAATGTCTGCAGAATTGGAAGCTAATAGTGAAACAAGTAATAGAAAATGGTCTACAAGTCTAAAAAAAGCATCTCTTAAAGTATATTTAATCTTGACTATTTATGGAACATGTATGTTGGGTTCACTTATCAGTTTATTTTTTGAATCAACATTAAAATATAGATATGGTGATACTTTTGAGCAAGCTGAGGATCTCAATTCAGCTGCTACTTTACTATTTGTTTTTGGTATGATTTCCAATACTTTGCTGGTGCTTACCTTGCATACCGGTATTGCTAATGAAGTTAAAAGGTTTATACAAAATAGATTTAACAAGCTATAAATAATAATAGAAGGTTTAGTCAATAAATTCAATAAATTTCTAATTTATCCAGCCCTATCCTTCCTTTTTTTAACAAAATTAGATTTATACTTATAATTTTAATTAGTTAATAAAATTTGTTTAACTGAAAAGCATAAATACTAAAGAAAATGAATTGCTTCTATATACTTAATTTCCCAATACTGTTATAAAACGTTATATTTGAAGCTTTTTCCACCCAAATAGCGCTTAAAAGATAGAAAAAGCGATGAAGCCAAAAAAACATCACCATATAATAGTTCAAATCAGATAATTTTTATGACTAGTATACTCTCTTTTCCTTTAAATTATACCAAATAGAGTAATATTATTTTTTATATTTATTTATTTTAGGAAAATTTAAAGAGGCTCCCTTGGCCTAATGGATAAGGCATCAGACTTCTAATCTGAGGATTGCGGGTTCGAGTCCCGCAGGGAGTGTTCTTATTGCCTTTTTAAATTTTATTGGGAGAAATTACATCCAAAGGTGCTTAAATAGATCAATAAATGAAACCGAAATGTCACATATTGTTTTATATCCTGTGTTTTTTCTGTAATTGTGAAGCTAGACTTATCTTGTTTTTTATTCATTTTGTAAGAGTACATCAATAGCTAATATGTTTCTGAATTTGAATAAGTCTTATGTTTATAAATTAAAGCGAAATTGAACTTATTGGCCTTGATATTTTGTAGTATTTTACTTGATTATATTTATCGTTGTTATTTATACTATAAGTTATAATTGACTAATTTTTTTTAAACCTTAAGAGTATATAATCTTTCTATATACTCTATTACTATTTCATAAATAAAGGTAGTCTTTAAATATAATAAAATAACTAATCGAGATTAAATAAAATAAAAACCAGCTATAATTCTAAACATAAATTCAAATTAAATTCTAAAAAATAACACCTACTTTTATTTTTTTTATGTCAAAAAGCCTATTTAATCTTAATCGTCTGCTTCCACATCATCAACTTCTTCTTGAATGAAACTCTCTGGATTAGGCATATAGTTCACATTGTCATTCTCTTCTTCCTCTTCAGCCCCTAACAAACCATTGAAGATAATATAAGCAGTAAAAACAACTACAGCAGCAATAGCTGAATGTGCTCTGCTTTTACGAAGTTTCAATTCTTCTATACCAATTTCTGGTTGATCTACTTGATTCTTAGGTTGTTTCCAATAATTGAATAAATTGGTAAGTTTGGTTGGGATAAAATACAATCCAATGTTTTTGATATTGAATATAGCGGATGGTGGAGGTAGAGCTGTAGCTTGGAAATTGGAAACTTGGGAATGGATATTATCTGTGTATTTTAATAAAAGTGGATGAGTGGTGATGATATAATCAGAGAGCTTGTTATTATTGAGTTTAGGATAAAGGATATGAGAGAGATAGGCATATAGAATTACATCGATAGTACTTATATTTCTATTTAAATTAGCAAACTATTATAACAATCTGTGGTTTTACTTACTGCTCATCAAAGAAATATTTTTTATCTCCCAAAGTAGTTTCTATTTCTTTTAGTAAATTACGTACGGATTCAAATATCTTTAAACAATAATAACATTTAACATATATAATAATAATGTAATAATCAATTTACCTTAGCTTCTAAAGGAGGAAGAACTTTATCATCTTTAATTCTTTTTAAATATTTTAGTGAAATACTAGAAATCTAATTATAAATATAAACCATTAACTTCCCTTTTTATCATAAAACTATATTTACCTTCAGTTCCTTTCTACGAGCTTTTTCCACCTCCACACATTGCTCATATTTTTTCAAGTCTTCAACTGCTTTTTCTACTAATTTACCAGGTAATGTGTATCTACTGGCTATACTTAGTGTTTTGCCTAACTCTGGTCGTGTAGAGTTTATAAAATTAGCCTCATCTATATATCGATAATAGTTCTAATAATAAAATTATCAACCTTGTTGTGATGATTTTAAATTTATCCTTACTAAAGCGTCTTTAAGTTTTTCGGAGATATACCCACGCATACTATTTAAATTTGAAATTATGAGATTGGTATACTGAATATGTATAGTATTATTATTATTTACAAATAAGAATTAATTTTATCTTCTTCAGATAATTTCGAATCTAAAGTGTGACCCTATTTTACATTTTATATTAAAAAATTGTCTTAAAAAATAAACATTATTCTATCTTACCAACTTTGATAGATATTCAATAATGGAGTTTAAACCAGAGATATATTCGGTCCCGTAATTTAATACTGGAAGTGCACCTATACATTGTTTAAGTTAAATACTAATATTCTTATGTCTTTTATATGCTAAAATAATTTACCACTTGGTGAAGCTTCTGTATGGTTACAAATGGAGGCTACCCATTCAACTCCAAGTAAATTTAAATATACCTATAGGAAAGTTGTTTGACATAATTATTTCTATTATCATATGTATTTCTATTATTATTATTTACTTGAGCAGCTAAACAGTCGGGATCATAGCTTGATAATTCAAAGCCCTTATCAAAGGTGTATAATATAAACATTTTGTATTTTTTGAAATTGTATTTTTTTGATTTTGTGATTCAAAAAACAATTTTTTAAGTTTGACGTTTATTTTATAGGATTTATGTGTTGGGATTTAATTAGTAGTTTTGATTTAAATAAATATTGTTTTATTCACTGTTTATGATAAAATTCTTCAACAGTTTTTATCTGAGGTTTACAGCTGCAATGTATTGCAGATGCCTTTATTAAAACAATAGTTGTTTATCCAATTTAAAGTATATGTATATTTTTTTAGGTTTCATTACTTTTTTCATTTTTAAGTGGAAAGAATATTAATATAATTTTAAAAAAAAGGACGTATTTGTATCCTTATTTATTTTAACATTTTAATATGAAAGTTGTTTTTCAATCAACTAAATGACTACTGAAAATAAAGTCTGCTATGGTCAAAAATATAAGCTACAAATCATTTGATGCCAAAATGCTACAATATTAATCTATTAACTGCTTATTATTAAGTTTTAAAAAAGTTTGAATAGAAACAAAAATTAAGGTAAAATAGCTTTATTTAACTAACTAGAATTACATCAGAAACCTACATAAAAAAGAAATTAGTAAACTATCGACCAAGTCTTCATGTTTTCAAAAGATATCTCAGATTAAGAACAACCCATTTCATTGAGCGTTAGCCCATCAAAGAGCTGGGTTTAGAATTAATAGCGTTCGATTCATCATTTTAAACTTCATAACAAATAAATTAATATTACTTACATTAAAAGAGAGAAAACATTTATATACATATATAAATTTTTTACTTTATATTAAAATTTTAGCCAAAAATTGTGGGATAGAAGTTGACGAAAATTTAAAATTTGAATTTGAATTTTTAATTACGTAAATCACAACTCCATTTCCAAAAATCAATCTAATTTTATATTAATGAGAATAAGGTCAATATCTTTAGTACGCGATGCAGTATTACAGTTTCAAGGCAATTTATACCCCAAAGCGATGGCAGTTGGTGATATAGATCATGATGGAGTAAGAATATTATTAATTATAATAAGTATGAACTTATATATTACTAGAGTAATGAGTTGGTAGTAGGAACTTTAGATGGTTTTCTATATATTTATAAAATAGGATTTGACTCTCCATTATCTAGTTCGAATATAACACAATTACCGAATTTGTCAACGCTTCCCTACTTACCATGGAAAACATGTTCAGGATTAGGTACAATAACGAATGTTGTTGTTGGTGATATAAGAAACATTGGAAAAGATTCCATTATAGTTATTAATGCCGAGGGTGGCTGTTTTCTATTTGATTATCCATTCAAATTAGTTGATAGCTCACCAATAATATCCACAGAATCACCAACTACACCTACATTAACGGTAGCTGGTACTAGTTTAATATCTGGGGCTAATTGGTCGACTACTGTACCTTTCAACACAATTGACGCTATTATTGCAGATGTGGATGGAGATGGTATTAAAGAGCTAATAATAGCTAATACTAATAAAAATATACATATTTATCAGTTAACAGCACAAGTATCACAAGCCAATAGTAAAGATAAAGATAAAGATAATAAGCCTAGGGGTATGAGAGTTTATACAGGTAAAGTGAAAATACCGGATTATTCGGTATTGTTTTGGTTAAACAAGAACGTATTCAATGTCACACACTCAATTACATCTATTTCTGTTGCTAATGATGAAGACAACTCTCCTCTATTAGTAGTAGGACAAGGAGATGATAACTTTTTATTGATCGATGAAGATGGTAGAGTTAATAAAATTAATGACTATCAACAAAAGGAAGCTTGTTTAACACCTGCTTTTTCAATACCTGGAGAAAAAGGTAATTTATTTGTATTATATATTAGTTATGTCATACTAAACATTTAATGATAACTATAATAGGATTTGATCAAGTGGCTAGTATAACATCAGATGGTTTATTAAGCATCGAAAAAATACATTCAAATCCAAGCAATGCGTTTATAAAGAGTACAAGCAATTTAATACAATGCAGTATTGAAAATTCAGGTAATATCATTGGCTATGGTCATTTAAATAAGATATCCACAATAAACCAACCGAATACGGCAATTGCTTGGGGGAATGGCAGTACTTTATTTTTTGATAGTAAAGGACACGGGCTATCGAATTTTGATTTTCCTATGGCTCCAGTAGCTGCTTTCATGACTGGTAGTTTTAATATAATAGTACAATATTTGAACAAAATATAATTTTATTATATTTTTATTAGGTCAATTTGCTATTCATCCTAATACTAATACTTTGTGTTTATTTTATGTTACATTTCAAAATGGAATTCATATTTATAGTGAACCAAATTTAACTTATTTACCTACTTATCAACTAGATCCTTTTATTGATGATTTAGATAATAATATTGAAATGAAAGAAGTAATCCAAGAATATTAATACACAATAACGTTTTTATATTTATGTTTTAATAGTTAGAATCGTTATTAGATACATTAAGTGAAGCATTATCCGAGAAAGGTAATTTTACTAAAAAAATAGCATAAATACCCGATTAAATTATATCCACAGTTATGATATCTTCACCAGTAATATCAAATAAAGCAGAAACTATCAAGTCTCCTATCAAAACAAGCAAAAAGAAAAAGAAAAAGAAACGAGGAATACCAACTACTTCTAATACATCTTTACCTTTATCTACAGTAATTGAGAAGCCCATTACATTGACACAAAAAGAAAAAAGAGCTATGTTTTACCATTATATTTTATATCATGCATTACCCTATAATTCACTCACGCCACAATCTACACCAAATTTAATGGTCAATGAAATTGAAAATTTAGATATTAATACTACAATTAAAAATCCTACTAGTAATAAAAAAAAAAATGTTATGTCTTCCATTTCTCTACCAAATACGTCT